AAGGCTTTGCTCCCCGTCTCCCTGCAGACCAGGGAGACGGGGAGCAGCTTTTCTCGCCCCGGAGGACAAGGGCGGCGGGACCGCGGCTCATCTGGGCGTCCCGTCGCTCCCGTCCTCCGGGGCGAGAAAAGCCCCATTCGTAACTGCGGATCTGACATAAGTCGGATCCGCGTAACTCGGGGACTGCCTGTAGTCAGTTATTTTTTTGTATATAAAAGACAAAGGATGCTGTCCTTTGTTGGTAAGTATACACTAATACAATGGTTAGGTCCTTTCAGTGTCTATTAAAAATCAGACACTGTAAAAAGTTCTTTCCTTACTACTTGATTTATATATTGGTAAACAGTCTGAAAAAAGTGCCAGGGTGTTTTGAACACAGTAAGGGAAAGATCTTTAAAACGTTATTGGTTAAGAACAGTGGGAACTGATGATAGATAAGCAGCTTGCTTATAAACTGTGAATTGTCCTGGAATGCCAAATCTGTTAAGTTCTCTAACTGCCTTATAAAAAGTTTAAAAAGAACAAATACTGTAGTCTTGCAGCACCTTAGAGACTAACAAAACATGTAGATGGTATCATGAGCTTTCGTGGGCACAACCCACTTTTCAGATGAATGGAAACTTCTATAAAACATTTGCTTTGTTTTAAGTGATTCTGCTACCACAGCCACCCCCAGGAGCCACAGTTCTAATTCAGGTTAGATATATCAGTAGCCATGATAGGAATGCTTTACCAAAATTGGTCGCTTTAAAAATCTTCCAAGCCAACACCTCTCCCTAGAGGTTCAATACTTTAGCGTGAGGCGTGCCTGATTGCTCCTCAAGCCAGTAGAAGCTGAAGATTGCCTGGTCAAGCAGGATACAGGTTTGAGCAAGTGATGAACATATACCTCCTTTCCATTTTTTTAATCCATTGTCTCTGCTGGGAGAGTATTTAAATAATCCTGTTTAACAGATTGTTTTGGCTGCCAAGTTCTAATGAAAATCAGCATCTGGAACCAGAATTGCTAAACCAGCAGCCTCTTTTGCAGCTACAGAGAATGTTTTCTTCATTTCACTTTATTGAGCTAGTTAATCCAAACCGGGGCCTGAAAAACACAAAAGTTTGTTTTCTCATTCCACTCTATGAATACATTAGATGTGAAAATAGTTCTAAAATATTGAAGGACATGGTAACCAATGCCATTGGTTTTTTTGGAGAGGGTGTTGGGTATGAAAAATTAGGATCAATGTCAAATAGATTCAGTTAAGGAGAAAGAAAATTTGAAAGTTTGTTTTAGCTGTTTCAAGCAATAGGGTCTGCTTTTTTTGCTCCGCTCCATTCTGTTCTTCAAATGCAAAATATGTTTTGCTAAAACTACTTATCTTTAAAAAGATTCTAACTTGATTCCTGATCCTGCAGTAATGCAAGTGCAAAATTCAGGCCTTAGGCTTTCACTGAATGGCCAGGAGTGTATGGAATCCTCATAGATAGAATGCTTTCAACTCATAAGGAGCATGAGTTCTCCTGGTGCCTGTGCATGACTCTAGACTCTTGTCTTTCTGTTGCAATTTACCAGTGCCTGTTTATATCATAACAAATCTTGTGTTAAAATGGAGTCTAGCAGCACTTTCAAGTATTCCCTGGAATGGCTGTAAAATTGGATGCACCTATTTATAGCAGGTCCTCTGAAGTGTAGTCTTTCTAAAAGCAAAAAAACCCTCAGCAGTGTAGTCCAATATTAAAAACAGCCTTGACTACATAGCTCAGGGTTGGCACAGTGGTTTTTCAACTGTTGCTGGTTCAGAACCAGCCTAGCTTTTTACTGACAAAACGGTTAGCCTTTGATTATTACAATCTAGTTCCTATGGGAGTTTTTCTCACTACCTCATTTAAAAAAAAATCAATCACCATCTCAAGAGGGCCCAAGGACATAGATGCAGTGACTAGTTTTGCTCCCAGAAGTTGCACCTTCAAAGAGCCGTGTCTAGGGTTGCCATGTGTCCTGTTTTGAACCAGATAGTCCGATATTTTAGCTTTCTGTCGGGGAAACAAATTGAGAAAATACCAGACATATAAAAGTCTGGTATTTTCTAATTAAATATGTTTTATTATTATTAGGAGTATCAGTACGTAGTTGCGTACGGCCTGGCTGGTAGACACGCTCACACTGCATGAGCGTGGCTACCAGCCAGGCAGTATGCAACTACACAGAGAGGTGGAGGTGGGGCTGGGATGGAATCCTTGGGGCTGGACTTGCCCATGTGCCTGGCTGGGACTGTGGGTGGGATGGACAGCACCCTGGGATCTACATGGGCCCAGGCCAGCCCCGCTCCCTGCTGGCTGTTTCTCCCTCCCCACTTCTGATCTCTCCTGGCCAGCCCCACTCCCCCCCCCTGGCCAGTCTCTCCTCGCTCCTCCAATCTGAGATCAAGTTTGTCCAGTATTTTTTTTAAACCATCTGGCAATCCTATCACCAGTCTTAGATCCAATCCTCTTCCCCCCAGCTGGTTCCTTCCCCCGATCTGCCTTTCCAATCCCCTCCTGGCCAGCCCTCCCCCCAGATGAGATCAAGTGTGTCTGTTTTTTTTTTTTTTTTAAATCATCTGGTAACCCTGTGTCTGTGCTAGGAAAACAGGTGGGTGACCATTTTAAACAATGTTTTGTCTCATGTAGGCAGGATAAAATTATGTTTGGACACGTGGCTAACGGTAGGGGAGGCCCAGAGTTACATACGTTTGCCTTTTCCACGTGCTCTGCAAGTGCCTACTTCAAACAGAGGTGAGCCTCTTCGTAGTTTAGAACTGAGTGGAGGCACATGAGAGCGTAGGAGTGACAGTGTTCTGGGGAAAATTGGTTCCCCCTGAATTTGTTAAAAAGTCCATCAGTAATGAAGCCAGTTAAACTCGTCACCCTCTGCTGACTGCTTTTGGTTCGTTCTTGAACTCACTACTTAACTAAAAGTAAACAAAATGCCTTATTTGGACATTCAAGTCCCAAAGGGTGTTTTGGCAAGCTAGACAAACAGTCTTGAACTTCTCATGTTAACAATAGCAATTTTATATAAACATTTTAATAAAACACAATGAATCTTCACATGCTTTCTGGGTTCCATTCCAGCACCACTATTTAAAATGTCAGCCAAAACAATTTTGCATTCTTAGCTACATCTAGTAAAAGAGAAGTATGTCTTTTTGCCAAGTGCGTGGTTCATGCGGTGAAAGCCTTATTAGCTACTCTTACTTCAGGCAGCAGTGGGGGCACATTCTGCAAGAGAACAAGTTGGTTCAGCTCCATGCATCTTCTCCTACCATCTGGTTATGCAAGAGAAGTTTATTTTACAACTGGACCCAGGCTGTCAAGTTTAGGGTTCATTTTTTAAATTTTAAGCTGGGGATTTTATTCAGACCATTAGTGAGGTTTAGTCACAAAGTTTGGCAATAGTTAAGAGTTGCCTCAGGAGACCTGTGGTGCTGGGGACCAGCAGCTCCATAAGTATACTTTGTTCAATGGCCATACACAGCCCTTTGACTGAAATCAATATGTGCATACCTGGAGGAAAAATTACCCTCAACGAATATTATTGTGACTTTGTCTACACTTCAAGTTTTGCTAGAAGAGCCAATGCAATTGAAGCACAGATCAGCATTTTCTCATGCTTCATTTGCATAATCTCTTCCAGTCCGTTTTTGTGTAAAACCAGACAGTGTGGACAGGTCTGTTTTGTGCAAAAACCCCTTTTTGTGCAATAGCCTTATGTTACTGTGACAAAAGAACATTTTTAAGTGTACCAGATGACTGGAGGCTAACTAAATATGATGGTAATTTTTTAAAAACGCTCTAGCGGTGATCCTGGGAGTTACAGGGTATGTGTACACTTGATTCCTCCTTCAAGGGAGGAATGCAAAGGTAGACATCTGAAATAGCAAATGAAGCAGG